CACACACACACACACACACACACACACACACACACACACACACACACACACACACACACACACACACACACACACACACACACACACACACACATACGTTTATGCTGCCGTGCTTAGCACTACTGTGGCCAGGATCCACAATTATTGAAGTGGAGAAGGTGGACGGATAAAGGAAGTCATAATTTTACAGTTTCGTCTTTTTTTAGTTCCCTAAATACAAATGCTTATTTTCCATAGTCTAGTCGTTATGAAAGTGAGGTTTACAGATTAAAGGTCACATCATTCATGAACTTTCTGACACTTAGGAATGGACGTCCATGGTCACAGTTAATAGGTTATCGTCAATCAAAATTGACTGGCAGTAGTAAAGCCTGAGTGAGGCCAGTGAAATTGAACCTAGCATTCCAAAATCTCATAGTTTAAGGTTGGGCTGGGGGAAATTAATATCTTTGTGATGTATTAAAATTGCCTTGATGAGCCAAAACACTGAAGTGGGATAAATACACATTTAAAAATAAAAAACATGAAATCAGGACGGGTGTGGATACTTTTTCACGGTACTGTCTATACTTAACCCACAGGAATGGATGAAGAAGTTGACTGTTGTGGAAAATGTAAGCACTGTGTTGTGATCATTATCTATTATTGTTTTTCATTATTTTACTTCACTTCATCATTTCCAAGATTTGAAAACCTACATGTGTACGTTTAGGAGAAGACCGCCTTATCAGCAAGACTTGATGAAATGATGGAGCAAAGTTTGACACTCTTCCAGAAGAGGGATGATATGGATGAACTGGATGGCTTCCAGCAACAGGAACTTGCTAAAGTCAAACACATGGTATGTTGTGAGGACTCCACACTACCTTTTGCACTGGTATCACTGAAAAAAACTGAAAAAAGTTGGTCGCACCTGCATAGATTTGGTCGGACGCTTTTTTTCCAGTGGTACAGTATGACCATATTTCCTGATGTCCAGTCGTCTCAATTGGCAATACTGTACGTTGTGTCACTTGTGTCATAAGATGTCAAGATGGACAGTGTCACAAGATACAAATTTTGTGAAACATTTTTCTGGAACATGAGCTGCCTTCAAAAGTAGCGGCTTAAAAAAACAGGTCAGTTATTTTTTGTAACTTTAAAAGAATACATTTAAAAATTATTGTGCTTTTATGTGACCATGATTTTGTCCACTGCAATTGGCTGGCAAGGGGTTCAGGGTGTCGCCCGCCTACTGCCCGAAGACAGCGGGGATAGGCTCCAGCATTCCCCGCGACCCTTGTGAGGATAAGCGTTTCGGAAAATGGATGGATGAATGATTTTGTTCAACGTAGACGGTCCAGCTCTTATAGTGAGGCCTTCTACCCTCATCCCCTTGTGAAAAGCAAAGCTTCACAGCCCTGCCCAGCGTCATTATCAATCACGTCTGACCCCATCAACACTGCTTTGGCTTAGGTCCTCCAAAGCAGCGTTTCCCAACCAGGAAGGGAATATATGAAAGAAGTGTATTTCTATAACTTGGCAATATGGCGGGCAGGTTATGATGACAATTTTAATAAATATATTTGTTGAATTTATTTTCTGTTCTATTTTTGTAATTATAAGCACCGACTTTATGGGTATCGCCTGAAACATAACATTGCTAATCTTTGATTTCCTTATGTGTCTACCAGTTGCTGAGAAAGGAAGAACAACTTGGCCAGCGTGAGCGGGACCTCCAGCAGCAGGAGGCTAAACTTCATTCAGCGAAGCAAAGGCTTTCCGAAACTCAGGGGAAACTTCAGGCTGTCCAAAAGCAACATGAGGAGAGCGCCAGGATCACAGCTGAACTGGAAATAGAACGGTAAATAAACGATTTTTTATTTTAACAAGTACTTTGTCACATAAGGAGCGGAATTTGGACCCAGAAGCAAACATGACACTAAAGTTGTCAAGTAAAAGTCTTTATCCATGAAAATACAAAGTAGTAGTAGTAGTTCCTTAAAGCTTGACAATGTGTCACTGAGTAATCCGAGTTTATTTAATGTGAGACATCAAGCCTATATGGCAGAATAAAGGACCAATGCAACTACGTACATAGCAACTGCACAGCAATTGATACATCAAGGAACAGTCAGTCAAAACACACTTGTTTGTTTTGAGTGATTAATTCCTCATAGGGAGGGAGGAATGTAGTAGTAAACCCACTTAGTTAATGTAGGTCTGGATTGGAGTCTTAGTGTGTTTGTCTCTATTATAATTAGCTGGTGACCAATCCAGGGTGTAATATGTAATATGAGCTAAACCGGGGTTTTACAAACCTTTTTGAAACTGAGGGCTACTTCTTGGATATTAATTAGCCCACTTACGAGAAAATAAATTTGCTCAAATTAATTCATCCATTCATTTTCCGATCCGCTTCATCCTCACAAGGATCGCGGGGGGTACTGAAGCCTACCCCAGCTGTCTTCGGGCAGTAGGCTGCATTTGCGCAAATTATCTTTAATAATATGATTAAATGTTATGATTAATAATTCTTGATACTTTTATGTGAAGGCATTTATCACATTTCTCACAGTAATTAGAAAACAGATAAATATCAATATGCAACACTTCATTTCTATAAATCTCTGGCAGTGTTTATGCTTTCAGATGATCACTTTTACCACATTCCTAGAAAATCACAATGTCCTATCACTGGTGATCTATTTTTTAGAACAGACCTGTCGGCTACCAATGTGGTGTCAACCTTGATGACCCTTGAGCTAAGGCTGTCTTCAAATATAGAACTGGAGCCTAATTAAATAATTTTGACCAAAATCAGAATCCCAATTTCAAAAATATTCACATGGAAAAGTTGTTTGTGAAGTCACTACACCATCGTGTATATGCAACAAAAATCATAGACCACATCGCCTTTGCTCACGAGGGTCACGGGCGTGCTAGAACCTATCCCCAACAGGCAGTGACACCCTGAACTGGTTGCCAGCCTATCGCAGGGCACACAGAGACAAACAACCATTTACACTCACAGTCACACCCAGGGATGATTCAGATTGTTTATTGTTACACTCCGAGTATGTCGTGAAAAAAATGGATGTGTGCAGAGAGCAACTGCTGCTGCTGAGAGAAGAGGCAGATAAGAAAATTGGTGATTTGGACGGACAAAACCAAAAGCTGCAGTTGATAATCCAACAGGTCTCAGCAGACTTGCAGAAGGTCAGTCTGATTGCCTGAAGTCTTTTGAGGTTTTCACTCTTATTTATTGTGGAATAGCCCACGCCAACACAACAATGTGGTTTTCTTTCAGTCACAGAGTATGGTGTCCTTTTCAGAGCGCTCCCTCCAGGATCTTCAGACTGAACATAATGCTCTGAAGTTGAAACAACAAAAGGTCAAAGAACAAATTTGCTTGTCAAAACATCTACAGCTCATGACTGAAGTCATTGACATATCATTTAGTTCATGATGCAACCACTTTTAATTGTATCGGCTGAATGTAAGAATTCATCTACTGTATTGTACGCTTGAAGATGATTTCTTGAATTCATTAGGCTGCTGTTACAGAGGAGGACAAGGAGCGCATGTTGGGGGACCTTCAGAAGAAAGTGAACTCCTTAGAGAGGCAATTGCAAGGAAATCTAAGCCAGGACGACCATCTACTTGAGCTTCTCCAGGAGGTGAATTAAAGAAGCCAACTTAATTTCCCTCACAGCATTAATGAAATCAATTCATCTGTCTGAAGAATCGCATTGATTATTTGTCATTTTTCTTCTGCAGAGGTCCAATCTTGAACAAAGACTGGAAGAAACCAGAACAGAACTACTGGAGTTTCGGACCAAGCATGCTGATACAGTTAACTCCTTGGAGGCACAGGTGCTCATGAAACTATGATCCATGATCCATGGTTCGTGTGTGTGTGTGTGTGTGTGTGTGTGTGTGTGTGTGCGTGTGTGTGTGTGTGTGTGTGTGTGTGTGTGTGTGTGTGTGTGTGCGCGCGCGCGCACGTGTGCGTGTGTGTGCGCATGAAAGGCAGCAGTATGTACCACAAAATCATGTACACTTCAACTAATGAATAATGAAAGGAAACACATCTTTTTTGCGTTTCACCATAAAATAGTCAGAACTCTGCTATGGCATAGGAGGTGGATGAACCAATTGTGGCTTTGCAATCGTCAAGGTTGCCCATCCCTATTCGAGCACAAGCTCTTCTGCAGCTCAATGTTTTTGTCTGTTTGATCTCAGGTATCCAAAATGACGTCCTGTATTACAGAGCTGCAGACACTTCTCCGACATAAAGATGAATCCTCAAGGTCCTATCGAGAGAGAACAGACACACAAGTGAGCAAAGACATGCACAAAAAAAAAATACCCAATACTGTATACTTTAGGCCAGGGGTGTCCAAAGTCGGTCCCTCAAGGGCCGCTGTCCTGCCTGTTTTCCAGCTCTCCCAAGAGTGACACACCTGATTCAAATAATCAGGAAGGTTCTATTCTAATGCTGCTTCAGAGCTGGCTGATGAGCTGATCATCTGAATCAGGTGTGTTGCAGCCGGGAGAGCTGGAAAACAGGCAGGACAGTGGCCCTCCAGGCCCAGAGCTGGACATGCCTGACTTTAGGCTTTTCACTTTAGTTGAATTGTGAGCCATCAACATACAGCTTCCATCTGTAATTGCTGTTTAATCATACATATATAGGTTCTGAAAAGTTTTTCAGTGATAAAATCCAGGTGAAATCTGAGATTTAAAGTGCAAAAGCTACTCATGAGTCATTATCTTAGTTATAAAAATGAAGTCAATAACACTTCCAGCTCAGCCAGAACTACACGAAATATACATTTGATTAAATGTGGTGTTTGAGAGTATTATTGTGCTGCTTTCTTTTTCAGATAGCAACCTTGGAGCAGCAAATCCAGGGATATTGCGATCAACTTAGGAGTACACAGCAGCAGATTGACGTGAAAGAGCAGCAGACAGAAAAAATGGTTAGTTCTCATTCTAAAAAGTCAAGAATGTCATTCTGAGTTTAGTTTTGTGAACCTGTGAAATAATGTGTGTACGTGTGTGTGGTGTGTGTGCGTGTGTGTGTGTGTGTGTGTGTGTGCGCGCGCGCGCGCGTGTGTAAATGACAAAGAGAGTTCTACTTGTAAAATAAGAATTTGAGAAGAAGGCAAGTAGTCTTGTTTCTTTGGTTTGTTTTTTGATCATAACTGTGACGCAGGACTAATCCATGAGATCTTCATCTCTTCAGTTTTAGTCATTTTACAAAAACAGTTTACAAACCCAATTCCAATGACTTTGAGATGTGTTAAGCATAACCAAAAATAAAATCATGGAACGTAGCTAATTAAGCCTCTAAATTCTTTGCAAGTGTAGGTTGAGTAACATTTTTCTTAAACTGTTTGACGACCGTAAATTCCGGGCTACAGATCGCACCTGATGAAGAACCGCATGCTCAGATTTATGAAGAAAAATCAATTTTGTAATTATATGCGCCGCACCGTACTATAAACCGCTGGCCAATGAGTAGGCGGGGGTTTGCTTCTGCGTCGCTGCCGCCTGAAGTGCCTCCGGGTGAGGCCGCGGATGCGGTCCCCCGCTGAACCCCCGCAGAAAAAAAACGCAAAATTTCTTAAGGTTAAAATAATCTCCATATTTTTATGAGCATGATAAATGCATTTGCACAACGAAATTACGCTGAAATGCACAATAAGAGGCCAGACAAAGAGAGATCTTGATGCGCATTTGCGTAATTACGAGGAGAAATACTGCAGCCCACTAGGCTTTAAATTAGAGCTAAGATCGGTCCTAAAAAATCGAGCCCGGCCCGAGGGTATTTAAGCCCGACCCGAGCCCGATCACTTAACTTGATTTGCAGGCCCAAGCCCGAAGCAAACCCGACATTTCATATTTTATTTGTGAGGACTCGGGAGGAGGAGGGGTGATTTCTGATAACAAAGCCTGTCTTTTGGAACGAAATCTAAGTTAAACAAGACTGTATAAACATTTACATCTTTTATATTTCTGTTTATGAAGAGGTTACATTAACCGACCATTTTCCATCATTGACGGATTTTTTTGAGAGTGGACGGGGAAATTTTAAGGCCGTCCGTCATTTTGACGGGTTGAAAATTGGACCGTAAACCACCGCAGCAGTACGTCCTTAAGAATCTAGCGCCGCACTTAAAGAGTGAGTAGCAGAGAGACAGAAGGGATGTTCACACGGCAACATTTGGTCCGACACAGCATCGGCGCTGCGCCAGCTGAGCGTTCACACGTGCAAATTTGCTCCGGCGTAGCGCCGCTAAACAGCTTACACCGGACCAAATTTGATCCACCTCAGTCAGGGAGGTGGTTTAAAAATTTGCTCCAGAGCAAATGCTCGTTTGCGGCGCAGCACCGATGTAAATTTGCACGTGTGAACGCTATAATTTGCTCCGGAGCAAATGCTCGTTTGCGAGGGGGGAGTAGCCTCGCTACGCATGAGAAGAGTTGATTACGTATGGCGAGAATGCATTGCTTTCGTGCTCTGTCGGACTTCCGTCATGTGTTTGTTTAATAACGACACAAGACAAGGCTAGTAACAGTAGCACAGCACCTCTTGGGTTATACCATCTCAACTAGAACAGGAGGGGGGATAGTCTCCAAACGTCATCTTTCCTTTTGTAGGAGACTGTACTGTCTCGGAGTTGTTTGTGTAGTTTGTTCCTTTGTTGTGTGTTCACAACCCCCCCCGTGCCCCATAGAATTTATTTCGTGATTTCCTCTCTTGATTTTTCTGTTTGCCGCATTACATTTTTGCTTTTTTGAGTGTCATTGAAGTCATTGTTGATTTGCAGGTGTTCGGGGGGGGGGGGGGGGGGGTCACTCTCGAGCAGAAGGCACGGAGACCGAGAAGGACATGCCTGTACGGGAGTTGCTTGAGTTGTGTATACGTTTAAAAAAGAACCAACACGACAGCTCATTTGTTTTCTGTCGTTTTGCTCCGCTGCAGAAACTGCCGTGTGAACGCAAGTGGAGCTGCACCGACGCTGCGTCGGTGCTGCCACGCTCAGCGGCGTTGTACGTGTGAACGCTCCACAAAATTTGCTCCGGTGTAAACTATATCGCAACAAAATACATCGGTGCAGCGCCGGATCAAATGTGTGCCGTGTGAACACCCCTAAAGACGAATAATGACGGGTGT